TATAGTGTTTTACCCCGATCCCTTGGTCATATTTAGGAGTATTTTTTTTTTGCTCTTTAGAGCCACTTTTATTACTAATATGTGTTTTCGTAGATTTGGTATTGTTTTATAGGATGTTGCAGATTTGGAGCATTTTCCCGGACTTATGATAAGCCACTACGAGCATTGGAGAAATATGACCATATTTCGTAGCCCAAGACCGGTTAGAGTCATCAAATCGGTGATTAAGGGCTCGGCAAAAAAGAGACCGAGACAATGGATCAAGTATTAAAGACCCAAGGTGGAAACCCGAAATTGGGCCAAGAGAAGTAGCCTAAACCGAAGATAGTCCCTTGCCTGGGAGCTCGCCCGACCGGGTGGGTTTGCCCTAAGGCGCCGGGCGAGGAAGGAAGAAGAAAGCAGCGCTTTGCCCTGTCTCACGCTCAACCGGGCGCGAGCGAAGATCCACTATTAAAAAAGGCGGGCCCGGTTCGGCAGAGGGCGAAGCTCCGCCCGACCGGGCGCGTGTTTCTAAGAGGAGTTTCGACGATTTTAATTTGTTGTTAATTAGGATTTTTGAGCTTAAGTATAAATACGTTTTTCTAAGCAAGTGACGAGGACCTCTTATCTTTAGTTAATTTCTCATATTTTAGTTTTAAGCTTTTGGTTAATACTCTTATTTTCTCTCTCTACACTTTTAGTTTATGCAATTCATTATTTCCGCTTATTTTGGTAATGATTTCTTCCCCCTTTTATTTTCAGTAATTAATTGCTTTGATTAATTATGTCTTGTTTATTTGCTCTGCTTAGTTTAGATTTATATATGTGTGAGTAGTTTTATTTCTAGGGTTGTGGGGATCCATAAATAATATGAAGGGGTAGTTTATTATTGTTGATTGTCAATGCTTGATTGATTTCCTATTGATTGATTTAATGTTGTGCAATTAGATTAAGCCTGGTTTAATTGTATGAGTTATGCAATATTGATTCGAGATTCGAGAGATGAGAATTAATGTTTAGGCTTAGTTTCAATAGGCAGGTTAATTTATAAATGGTTAAGTCAAGATTCGAGAGATGCGATTTAATACCGACAGATTAATTCTGTGATTATAATACGTAGCGAAAGCCCTTTATAATATGGTTAATTTATGCATTGATAATTGATTGTTATGTTTTATCCCGGAGTATTAATTATTGGTGAACCTATGACCCTAGATCTTTTTGTTATTTCTTATTTCCTTATTTTATTTATTGTCATAGTATAATTCTCACAATTCTTCCTTGTTTCTTGATAATCTAAATTATAATAATTTATTAGGAATAAAATAACACTATTTTCATGTGGATTCAACCCTGCTTCCCTATCTATGTTAGTTAGTGGTTTTAGGAATTATTTTTGATTAGGTGATACGACTTTATCCTGTCACCTCGTACCCGTGTCTTAACCTCGGACAGAGTCCCCGTGTCCTGAAACTTCGGAGTTGACGTACCAGACACTCGAATCCGTACCAGTATTGGATCCTTCTATCTGAGTCCATGTAACATAGATTTAGATATCACAAATTCTTATATGTGGCTGGCTACACGGTGTGGCCAGCCATTATAGGGGTTACGTCATGAGTGTTACAGGGGTTACTTGGTTAGTGTTTAGGGTTACTTCGTTAGAGTTATAATGGTTACTTCGTCACCGTTATAGCTTAGGGGTTACTCAATTAGTGTTAAAGGGGTTACTCGATCAGTGTTTTAGGGGTTGTTTTGTTCTTTTACAAGGGGCCACATGATGCAACCAGCCGCGCCTTAGACACGTTTAGGTTTTAACGCTACAACTTACTTTGTGGAAGCAGACTATAATTTTTTTTTTCTTTTTCTCTTTAACTTACAGTAATTTGACTTTTGCACAATTCATATAGTAACTCTATTTTCCTAATATTTATAACAAAATAGATTTTGTTATATTAAATATTTTGGATTAGTCTCAAATTATATTTTACAAATAATAATGTTTATTAAATTTTACTACTCCGTAATGGATACTACATACATAAAATATGTGTATAATCAAAGTTGTGTATCAATAAACTCACAAACTTCATTGAAAGTCAAATTGTTTTAATTTTAAGGCGAAGTGATATTTAATAAATGTATTATTTTAGCAAAGTTATTTTATGTATTGCACTAAAACATAATCCTAATGTCTTAAGACTTACATGACATTAGCAAATTACTATTCAATTGTCTTTAGACAAGAATTCATAAAATATATGAAGCACAATCTCAACAAAGCTTTGAATGGAATCTTGGAACTTCATACCAAAACACAGCGTTTTGATGAAAGATAATTATAAACTTTTATTTTTTTTTAAAAAAAATTATCACTAACAATAAATTGATTTAATTTTTTGAAAAAAAAAATTTGTTAGAAATTTAGAGTGTATGAATCCGTAAGGATTACGCGACCCGTGAATCAGGCGTGATAAAATCGCGCTTACTTTCTGGATCCAGTGAAGAAATTTCGATTTCGAAGTGGCGCGCCCGAGCCAGGTAGGCGCGACCCGCGTTGAAAGCGCGACAAAATTGCGCCAACTCTCTGGATCGAGGAAAGATTTTGGCAGAATTGGAGAGGCGCGCCCGCGCGCTTGCGCCGCCATGAGTCGCGCCCGCGCTGCTTCCTTTGTCTGCGATTTTCGTGCGGTTATTCCTTTTATTAAAGGGGCTTCGTTTTTCTGAAAAATAGAACTTCAGTTTCATATTTTCTTCTCCAAGGATTCTCCACACTTTTTCTCTCAAGAATCTTGCAAACTCTTATTGAAAACTCTATCAATTTAGCCAAATTTTGTGAATTTGATCATCTAATTTCGTCTCTTAATGCAAAGAACAAAGTGTTGTCTTTTGTATCTCAAAGAGAATTTTCGGTATAAACCCAAGCATCATTGTGGGGAAAATTAATCTCTTTAGGAAAGTGTTTCACACGCCTAAGACAAAGTATCAAGGTTTGAGACTCACGTGGTCATTGCAATTCTCATGTTCATGTTCTTTTGTGAAGGCTTGGAAGTGAGGCAAGTTATATATCTTTCATTCTAGTTAAATACATTGTAATTTATGTAATTCTTTGTATTAAAAGTGCTTGGTTTGATTATACATTGTTGTATTGATTTGGTTGTATAATTAGTTGATATTATACACCAGTTTTAGGTTTTTTTCCCACAAATTGTATTTGATTTATACTAGTAAAACCTAACAAAAGTAAAGTGTTCGTTTATTTGCAATTGATTGTTGTGTTTTTTTGTTGATAACATTGTTTATTGTATTTTAATATAAAGTATCCTGTTATTTGCTATTTTTTGTTGTATTTTAATCTAAAAACTATATTATCTACTATTTTTTGTTGTATTTTAATTTTATCATGTACCCAGTCACAAATATAATTTTTTGAAGGGCACGAACATAAATTATTTGAATATTATCAACTTATAATTTTTTTTTGTTAAAATAAAATTAAGTAAATTTATCATCAACAAATTTAAATTATAACAAGATTTAAATTGTACAATTATGGTCTTATGTATATCACAATATTCATGTAATTATGTATCTCCTAGTTTGATTTTAATTTTAGGTATGTCCAATATGTAACTTACTAACTTACTATACCATTGTAAACTTTTCTATTAAAATATCATATGTAAAAAGGAAAAAAAAATTCATATATATATTTATGAATTCTTAAATGATTCTAAAATTTAGTTGAATCTTCATGAGTGTTAACATAATTGTAAAATATTAAAAATTATTAAAATCTAATGTGACATAGGAAAAAAGTCTATAAACAAGATAGAGCTAATATTTCTCTAAGAATATCAAAATTTGATGTAAAATTATCAAATTCTAATTGTAAAAAGTCAAAAGTTGATATTGTCAAAATCTAATACAAAAATTTCTCAACCTGATGTAAATTTATAAGCACAAACTTTTTAAAATTGGGTGTACAATAATTCCGTTGTAAAGTTTCCATAAAACGGTCAAAAGTTATCTCTTAAACTTATCAAAAGTTATCCTAATATGTATAAAGTTACCCAATACAAATAAAATTATCTATGTTTTATTGGTAAACTCATACTTTCTAAATGATTGAAAACAAAATCTTAGTGATTTAAAGTAATTATATTGCTTTTAGACCTTACCCTAATATTGTTTGTTGTGCACTAATATAATTGTGTACCGGGTGTACACAAAAGTTTTTTAATTATAAAAATCTGATATGAAAAATGTCAAAACTTAATATAAAAATGTCAAAAATCTATACTTAGTATTTAAAAACACAAACAATGCATTCATGCCATATGTCAACTTTATTTTTTTATTGAATAATGCCACATGTTATCTTATTTAACCTATCCTTTTAAACCCCTTTCTAACATATAATTCCCCTGTTCTACAATATTGCAAAAAGGATGAATTAACGCATCCCAAAGCACATTTTATATGCTAAATATCTATAATTATATAAAAGGAAAAATTATAAAAAGTTGATATTGTGAAAATATTTTACGAGACGAATCTAACAAGACCCCACATGACTATATTTTACTTTACGTATAAATCATAATATGTGGTTAAACAAGGGTGATGAATAGTGTAAAAGGCTAGTTGTTGTAATATTACTAAAACGGAGGAAGTTGTAAAAAATAAAATAAAACCTAGCCATAATTCATATCAACACATATTATTGTTGTTTAGTTCATTTTCCTCCAACTTAATATCTCTTAAAAGCTTATCTAATTTTCATCCGTTCTTCTTCCAATAAATTAAAAACATATTATAAAACAAAAAGTTACATTATATATAAGAATAAGCCGTGCATTGTACGGGCCAGAAGATTAGTTTATTATTAAAAAGTCTACTCAAAATCTAAGCTATCCTACTAAACCCAACCCGACCGACTCGTTTGATGAGGTCAAGTAAACAATCTCCTCACCTCACACACACACGTATACCAACCAACCCAAAGTGGTAGCACCATTCTCTTACCATTGACAACAACACACTGTGTGATAACATCACCAATTTTACCATGGGGTCTTAGTGTCTTACACACCCTTTTCCCTCAAAATAAACAAAAATTAACTTCCAATTCCAAACTTTCCTCTTTCGATCATTCTTTCTCATCTCCTCTTTTTCTTCCTAGATCTTCCTTATTTCTGGCAACCAATTCCTATTTCACTTTAAATATACTTGGTCATACAATCAACAACTCAACCATCATCATCAACAACAACAACAATTTCAATTCGAATTTCTTCTTCCAAGATTACTTTACCTAGATCCACCTACTTTAATTATTCCTTGAAATTCAGGTACTTTTTCCTGTGATTTTCAGTTTAATTTTTGATAAATTATCTGAATTATTCATAATTGTTTTTGACGATTTTGTTTGGTGGGTCAACCCCCCACTTTAGGAATTTTTCTGGGTTCAAAATTTTATTTTCTGGGGTTGTTGAATTTTGGTGAATCGTTCGAGTCAACTCAATACAAATGCCGGAAGAAGATCTTGTGGATATAAAGTTCCGGTTATACGATGGATCAGATATTGGTCCGTTTCGTTACTCTTCTGCCTCGACTATTGAGATGTTGAAAGAACGAATTGTGTCCGAGTGGCCTAAAGGTTTGTCTTCAACATCTATTTAATTTCATTATTTCATTGTTTTTCTGCTTTTTATGGAGTTATAATCATCAGTTTTGTATATTATATGGTTTTTATTTGATGATAATCTTGGTTTAAATTTCCCAGAATTGTGGATGAGAAGAGTGATTTTAGTTATGAAATTTATGATCTAGTCCATGTTAGTGAACTTGGCTGTTTTCGGGGTTGCCGGTTTTGGCTTATAGAATTGTGCAGTTTTATTTTTAGTTGGTTTTTGGATTGATGAAGGGGGTGGCTTGTTGGGGTGGTGTGGAGCTGCTGATTGATTGAATTAGGATTGGTTTGTTAGCTTCGTATTGAATAGAAGTGGAATTGCGATTACTAGTACCCTTATAATATACGAAGGGCAAATTAAAAGGAAAAGATTGCAAGGATGTCCATTCTGAAGTTTCTGTTCATGTCTACTGTCTTCTTGTATGAATATGTAGGATAAGATGGCAATTCGAATGGTTGACTCATTGTTTTAGCGTATTGATATGCGAAATAGTTTGTTGGCTCCTTTTATCGAAAGTTATTTTTAGGACTGAATACAGAGGTTATTTGAATTATAATTTTAGTAGGTTTTTTTTTTTTTTTTTTTTTTTTATCAATGAAGTGTGGCTGTTATTTGATTGGTTTAGTATTAGAGCATCTCCAAAGGTTGTAGCTAGGGACTTTCAATTCAGAAAATTCCCTAGCTATTGGCTTGACAATTGGAGCTAAAAAATGAAATTAGCTTGGAAAAAACTTGTCAAAAAGAGGGGCTGATATATTAATATAATTAAATTTGAAAAGCTAATTAAGAAATTAAGGCTTATTTAAATCCCAAGCTAGTAGCTAACCATTGGGCACAAACTAGCTATAAAGGAAATTAGTTTAAAATCTTATGTGGCATATCAAGCTAATTTGCCAATAAGCTTACCGTTGGAGTTGCTCTTAGTTTGTTGGCTATGTATCTAGAAGTTAAATTGTGATTATTAGTACCCTTTAATATATGTAACAGTTATTGTTCTCATAAGCTTCCAGTCATGTTAACCGTCTCTTATCTTCATCAGTATACCAAGGGGGAGATAGAATGGTTCACGCATCAGTTCTTGCATACAAGGTTGCAATTTTTTTTTTTTTTTTTTTTTTTTTTGGGGACTAAACTCAGAAATTGTTTTAGTGATTTAGTACTTTTGCTCCCACTCATCGGAATTTGAGATGTAGCCTTTTCATTAAAAAGAAGCTTCTGTCTTCACTTGACAAAACTGTGGGTTTAGGAGACATTAAGTTCATACCACTGTCATGAACGCCCAATAATGGTCATTTCTCTAGGACTAAGATTGGCACCAGGTATTCTATTGATAGTGATTGTCCTAGCCTCTTATGATGGGTGGGTGTGTGGCAGTGTGGGTGTGTATTTAACCGTATATCTTTTCTTTGTGCAGTTACTATGAATATTATCTACTTATTGTTTTTTAATCGGTTTTTAGCTTTCTGTAGATAATATATGTTTCTTTTCCAATGCTTAGCTACTAGGAATTTATGTATTTTTGTTTCTGATGTTTCCTCAGGAAAAACTGTTGTACCAAAAGTGGCAAATGAGATCAAATTAATAAACTTTGGTAAGATACTGGAGAATAATAAGACTGTTGGCCAGTGTCGGGCACCTTTTGGTGAGCTTACTGGTGGAGTCATGGTTATGCATGTTGTTGTACAGCCATCTCAAACAAAGACTAAAGCAGGTGCTTTCCTTTTTGTATGGCTCTTTAATTTTTAGTTGAGTTTTATCCATGGATACTTTAATTTTTGGTTGAGTTTTATCCATGGATACTATCTTCTCTTTAAACAATTGGAGATCTAATCTTCTGGTATAAGTTGATACAGAATGTCGTATAATCTGCAATTTCAGATCCTATGCATAAATTTTTCCTGGATAAGTTAGTAACCATTTATTTTGATTGCGCAATAGATATTTTTATCACTATTCCTTATATGTAATCTATATGTTCTGGCGCTAGTCTTCTGGCTTCCCCTGCCGGATTGGTTGTGACTTAAGAAGTTACGTGTGTTATTTGTTGCTATCTGTTTGCTTTCTATTAGTAACATTGACTGTGGTCCTTCTAAAAATGAGTGAAATGTATTCTAAATTTTGTGAACTATAATGTGCATCCTCTTTTTAGAGGTCAACTGTATCATTCAATTGTTTGATTACTATGGTCACTGGATAGTTGATTTTTCAGCACATGCACTCATATAGTTGCACAATGCAATTGCTTATTGTTTGTGTAACCTTTAAAGAAAGGTAGAAAGACATAATTGTATTAGTGAGTGTGAAGAGGAATGAACTATTGTTAGGTTCTGCAAGCTTCTCTCCAAGTTTTTTTTACTTCCAAAGTTTTCCTTGCATTAGGTTTTGATTTCTATTATTTGTTTACCTACTGATTGTCTGGGGCCTAGGGAGAATGGACATACAGATAATTTGTTTAGCCTCACTCACTGGATGCCTGGATCCATCTCCACCAACCAAACTCGAAGATGAGACTGGGACCATGCAAACAAATATTTCATTAAGTGTGGCATTACATTCTTGCAATTGATTAGATTTAACCTCTATCTAAAATTAATATGCAACGTATTACTTTAATGGTCAAAACTTCCTAGTTTGAGTTTGATTAAAAAAAAAAAAGTTTATATTAAATGAGTTTTGATGTGAAATGTCATAACTTCAAATTTTACGGAGTTTTTCCCTTCGTTCTTTTTTGTTTGTCCCATTTGCAAACATCATTTTGAAATAAGAGAAATTTTATTAATAAAAATTTTATATCTGAAAAAAAGAGTCATTTGGATTTTTTTTAGATTTGTCTCAATTCGTTCATTCAAAATATCATTTTATTATTATTATTATTATTATTTTTTTTTTAAAAGTTCAAGATGTTTGATTTTGGTTACTGGAAACTATGCAATAAGGAAACATGACAAACAAAAAGAAATACAAAGAGTAGCTTTTACAAAAATAAATGATCAAAGTTGACAAGATTTAGTAAAAAAAAAATATGGCAATTTTTTTTTGGGAGAAGGGGGGGGGGGGGGGGGGTTGGTGGTGTTAAGATTTTCATTAATTCCTTTGGTCACATTGTGAATGGTGGGATATAATTATGCATTTATGCCTGCCTAGTGGCACAAGATAATACTATAAATCAGTATATGGGAATCAGGTTCAGATACTTTTGTGATCAATACTGCATTGTTTTGGCAGCTACTACCAGAATGCATTGTTTTGGCAGCTATCACCTGAATTTACAGAAATAATTGTCATCTACTAGAATAACTTGGTTCTTTATCCTTTTTAAGTGCTCCAGAGTTGACCATTTACTCGTTTAGCCTTTTACTATGAATCCTGATTCCTGATTGTGATCACTGGATGCTCAAGAATCTCAGGATTTGCTACATGTCAGCAGAAAACCCAGAAAGACTGGACTCTGGATCGCTGGATTGCATTGAATACTCAGATTTAACTTAACTCATCTGCAAAGTTGCTTGTAGTAAATGAGCTTTTTAATCAGTCTTTTGAGTCTATTTTCAGTATGTGATTCCCCCGTATCTAACTTCAAGTGTATTATTGTTGTTCTGAGCAGAGAAGAAGATTGAAGAGTCAAAGAAATTTGTTTGCTCATGCTGCATTATGTAGGAATGAAAGCAGTCCCGTCAAGTAGGTGGATATTGTGCATCAAGAGTGGGAGGCAGGAGGTTGCCAGAGCTTATATTAAAAGCTGTTCTTTCTCAGCAAGTTTTATCACCCTATCATCATTGACAAGCTGCTGGCCTCCTAATTTTCTTGAAAGCTTTGCCCTTTTTTTTTTTTTTTTTCTTTTTTTAATTTTTTTTTTCTTAAAATTTTTGGTGTACCAGTAACACGAAGCTGTATAGAGCTATTTGCTGTAATGGAAAACCACAATCAACTGTAAGAATATATAGCCGTTGTGTGCGTGTGACTGATGCTAAGATATAACAACATTGTGTTCTTTCTTTTTGAAACAAAATCATAATTCATAGGTTCATTTATTCTGTCTGCATTCATCGAGTCTATTATGAAAATTTCATCATTTTTTATTCTCTAGTGGATTCTCTGGTCACAATTTGGCAAAATTCACTGACTGTATTTTAGGTCTATAGAGAGCAACAAATTCTAGCCTAATTCGATCTTGAATTCTTAGGTCATATCACTTGAGACTTTTTTAACTAAGCTATGCGACACTGGTCTTTTTTGGTTTCACTCGTGTAGCTACTCAAAATTTCCCACATAATGTGGGAAAAATTTTAGCCACCTTGGCTCTTCATAAGTAGTTCAATTTTTCTACGAATTGTAATTTTCATAATGTTAACTAGACATAATAAAACAATTTCCTAGAAATTTGATAAGAAGAATTATTTTCCATAAATCATAAACTACTCTAGAAAGTTCATTCTCATTGCAACCAAACGAGGGTCTCTATGCACATGTGATGGCCGGTACAATTAATTTAACTAGGACGGCTAATGTGCGCGTTATAACTAGCCATGTCCGAAAGTTCTTTCGATTTGGCGCTATTAGTAGCGTTAGTTGGGGAAAATATCTAAACAAATATTTTTAGGGGTATAAATGTTTGCTAATCTTAAGAGTAATAAAAATAAAAATAAAAATAAAAACAATTAACATTTGTTTTTATTAGGAAAAAGCAGAGCTTCATTAATTAGAGCACAAAGAGTAAATAAATAAACATTTTAGGGACATAATCGTCTCAACACTATTCATAAAGTGTGATCATACTTTTTAAAGGGGTAAATATATAAATAAACATTTTTAGGTACATAATAGTCTCAACACTATTAATAAGAGTATATTCATACTTTTAAAAAGGTAGGGATTTAAAACTAAATGTAGTTATCAAAGTTAAAATCTGGCCCATTTGTAAGTCAACTTGATTTTCCAACCATTGCTCGGTGCTCTTAAACTTGGTTAGGTTCATGAGTTTGACCGAGTAAATATCGACGGCTTGCATTAAACCTATTTAAGGTGGGTGGTTATTTGAATCTTGAAAATATAATACTCGGACTATAATTAGACCCGATTATTGGATAGGGTAGCCAATGATAATAGATTAATAGGTCAGAGCCTTTATTAGATTACAAACTCTTAAGTAGATCTAGACACCTAGCTAGTTCACATTAATTTATTGTGAATCGCTAATATTAGAGACACTATAGTCGTTTTATTAATAAAAAAATAAGGTAACTATGCTAAAATAAAGGTTATTATATTAAAATAAAGTCATTGTGATATTATAAAGGTCATAAGAGGGTTTTTTTTTAATGATCTTTTTAATTAATATATTTGTCAATATGAATAATAAAGGTCGTTATGTTAAAATTAGGATCATTATATTCAATATAACGTCGTACTTCAAGTTCACAATAATATTAAGGTCACACAAATTTAATAAAGGTTATTGTGTTGAAATTAAAGTTACTAAGTTAAAAGTAGGGTCACTATCATAACATATCATACCACTAATAAATAAAGTCGGTCTTGCAGCTAGGCCATGAAACAACAACACTTGACATTCCAGTTTTTCGCCAGTGTCGCGCCACATAGGAGATAATTAGGTATTATTGTGACACATATGATGCTAAGTAAGCGATTTTTTAATAGGTTTTTTAAGATAAAATTGTTGTATAAAGTTTTATTATCGATAGAATTCTAATATTTCATATATACAAAATTAATCATAACTTTTAATAAATATCTTATAACTCAATTCTATTTCCATAATTAAATTCGTTTTTAAAAGTTCTTTAAAATAAGATCCATTTATAATATATTTAATCACAAACTTTTATACGTAGCTGGGCAAACCGTGTCACCAACTATTACAAGAGTTATTTCGTTAGTTCTAGTGGATTGCTAAACATCGCCCGCAAATCTCCACATAAAGCCCACAAACTTATATTGAAGTTACAATATTGCCCTTGACCTTAAAAAAAAAAACACAACCTCAATAAAAATCAAAGTACGGGGATGTCGAGGCTCGTGGCGGCAAGGTGGTTGGCTCGTGGCGGCAAGGTAGTGGTGGCTCGTGGCGGCAAGGTGGTGGTGGCGCCAGGTCCGGCAGCCACGTCCACCGGCCTGGCGTCTGGGCAGGACGCCCAGCCACGGTGAGTGGCGTTTGGGACAGGCGCTAGTCACTGTGGCTGGGCGTCCTGCCCAGACGCCAGGCCGGTGGACGTGGCTGCCGGACCTGGCGCCACCACCAACCACGGGTCGTCCTGGCCAGGCGCCCCAGCTGCCTTAAAATTTTTTTTTTTTTAATTTTTTTTTTTTTTTTTTTGGAAAATCAGAAAATTTTTCTAATTTTTTTTAATGTGTTTGATTTTTTTTTTAATAATTATTAATTTTATGTGTTATTTTTTATAAGTCTAGTATATATATTTTTTATAAAATCAAATAAAAAACATAAATTTCCACATCCTAAATCAAAACATAAATTTAATAAACATAATTTAAAAAAATAAAAAAAAAAGGCAAAAAAAAAAAAAAAATTAAAAAGTAAGGGCGGCGTCCAAACCAGACGCCAGTGCACTGGTGGTGGCGCCTGGCCTGGACGCCAGTGCACTGGTTGAGGCTCCTGGGCTAGACGCCAGTGCACTGGTTGTGGCGTCTGGCCTGGACGCCAGTGCACTGGTTGTGGCGCCTTGCCTGGACGTCCTTGCCATGGTTCCGGCGTCCAAACTAGGCGCCACCTCGTTTTCCGTCGAAGATGACGTATCTCCGGCGACCCTCGCCTCTCCGGCCTCCCTGGGCAACCCAATACGACTCCACATTTGTTAGATCGAGATTTGTTCACTTTGGGTACGATTTTAGAAATGGGCAAAATTGTCAAACCATGTCTAATTTGTGGGCTTTATGTGGAGATTTGCGGGCGATGTTTAACAAATCCCTATAGGGGTTACTTGGTCACTGTTATATATAGTGGTTACTCAATCAGTGTTATAGATAGGGGTTACTTAGTCAGTGTTAGAGGTTACTCAGTTAGTATTACAGGAGGTCAGGAGTTACTCAGTCAGTTTTATAAGGGTTATTTTGTTCGGCTAGATGATGTGGCTAGCCGCAAACAAAATGTATTGTTATTTAATTTATTTTAGAAAAATATTAGAGAATCAGTAAAAATAAGTTTAAATCAGTAAAATTAATTTTAATTTGGTAAAAATACTTTCAGTTCAGTAAAAATAATTTAAGTTCATTAAAAATAATTTCAAATCAATAATAACATAGATATCTATTTACAAACAAAATTACAAAAAGTATTATTATATAAATATAAGCCATATGATATCATATGTTTAAATATCCTATAACTTTTAATGAATACCCTATAACTCAATTCTATTTCCATCTGCTTTTGTCAAAAAAAAAAAAAAAAAAATTCTATTTCCATCATCAAATTCGTTTTAAAAAGTGCTTTAAAATAAGATCCATTTATAATATATTTAATCACAAACTTTTATATGTAGCTGGCCAGACTGTGTCACCAACTATTGCAAGAGTTACTTTGTTAGTGCTATAGGGATTACATGGTCAGTGTTATAGTGGTTACTCAATCAGTGTTATAGCTAGATAGAGGATACTTAGTCAGTGTTAGAGGTTACTCAGTCAGTTTTTATTGAGGTGTTATTTAATTTATTTAAGAAAATATTAGAGAATCAGTAAAAAAAAGTTTAGTTTGGTAAAAATACTTTCAGTTCAGTGAAAATAATTTAAGTTCAATAAAAATAATTTCAAGTCAATAATAACATAAATATCTATTTACAAACAAAACTACAAAAAGTACACCATTATATAAATATAAGCCATATGATATCGTATGTCTAAATATCCTACATTGTAAGAACGAATTATTTGACCGTATTTAACATTCAAGTAAAAATGTTATCTTAAAATTTTATCAACCATCTGAATAACGTCCGGGTACAAAGTTAGTGTTTAATATAATGACATTTTCGTATGTATAGACCTCAGGTCCACAATAACATTAATGTGAACCAAGTCCACGCAAGTTTTTTCCAAGGTTCGGGTCAAATATTTATCCAAATTTTAACAGATAATATAAAAAAATTACATGGACTTTGTATTAATATATACTTTATTATGACGTCCTATATTCTTTATAATTGATAATGTATTAATCGGCCCATTATCAAGCCGCTATTGACCTATAATTCGCATTGGCCCAACCCACTTTTAGCTTTATAAAATGTGATATCTGCCCAATAACAAGGCCAGGTTTAATTATAATAAATTGTTTTTATTTTTGAAAGAGAATACGTTGTAGATATGATAATGAAACAAAATCCTATAACCGTAAAAAAGCAAGAAATTTAAACTCCGTATCAACTAAGATCGTTCCGTTTTTTTTTTTTTTTTTTGTTTATGTTTTTTTTTTTTTTTTTTTTTTTTGAGTTTTTGATCCGCTCTTTTGACTGACTAAATAAAGAGGTTTTTGGTCCACTTTTTTCATGATTTAATTTGGTATAATTTTACTAATAAATAATTAAAGATAATAATGATTAAAGATATGTCTCAGCAAATATGTCTGTTAAATGATGCATTAAAAAAAAAACTGAGACAGTAATTGGATATAGTTGGTTTTGTCTTAAAACGCCAATATATATACGATTATACGAAGCATAAGATTATTTAGTGGGTAAATAGCTTACCCGGCCCTCAAATCAACATCTAGTATGCCTAACAACATCAAAATGAGTAATAATAAAGTTTTGGCCTAGTAGTTAAGTATAGTGGTAATCAATTTAAAAATGACTACTTTAAAAATTTTACATTACATACAAAGAATATATAAACATCCTTGCCACGATGGAACATGAATATAAAAGTTGCCGGGTTGACAACATGAGAAAATCTGTTATTGGAGTGAAACCAAGCTGTACATACTTAGAATGCTTCATGCTTTCGACACACCTGAGTAGGATATCGAGGATGAGTAAACCATGACGATTGTTTCATGTACACCTCCGTAGT